TCCCTTACCGCTGTTCTGGTGTATATTGTATTTCAGGATCCAAAATGATTTTATCGATCATGTTGACAGCTTCTGGACCATCGAGCGCGTTGCATAAATTAAGTGTCTCAGTTAGTTTGTCGCTATACCACTGCGTCCAGTACTCTGCCTCTCCTGGGCCTTTTTGGCTATTGTATTTGTAAAGCCCATTGTAGAAATTAGTTAGACCCCTGTATATAACGCAGAATGTGCCATATTTTGTTAAGGACATAAGGATACTAGACAAGGCGTATATATATTAGCGGCATAACAATGTAGAGTTTAGGGCGAGTCTTACTCGACTACTTCTGGGTAAGTTTGGCGATCAATCAGTGCACCGAGTGTAACCCAAGTGTTTTCATTCCATCTAGACGTCATAAGTGTCTTATTGCACGCTTCCTTTAGGAGAGACCGATCGCCGAGGCATGCAGCGGTAGCTACAACATAACCGAGATATTTGTCGTTCGCCGCTTTAGCAGCAAATCCTTCGTTTAGGATTATGCGGCAAATACAAAAGATTATCTTTTGCACTGTTGCTTTATTATTGTCGTCAATACCCTCCCGCAAATGCGTCATAACTCTATCCACCTCTTGAGGATCTCGCGGGTTAAAGAGGGGAACATGCAGGAAGTTTATCCGGACAATAAGAAGCACCTGGTATTAATTAAATGTTGTTAGCATTGCCGTTCTTATGATGCTGCGTTAATTTGATTATAGAAAGCTTACCGGATTTGACTTGATATCCCCCCTTTGCCTTCCTAAGTATTGTCTGCCGATGCGAACATCCGGGTCACTTTCACAGCTGATGGACTTCAAAGGCAAGACCTCGTCTACGTTCACCTTTTGTGGAGATAGCGTGAAGCCTTCGAGGCTACTGACGTGATGCAGATACTTCCGACAATCTATGTCGAAATCGTCGTCCTCGTCCTCGTCGTTTGGCCAGATTTTGCGCTTATCGAGCTGGGCAAGAAACAGATGGAATCCGCCGTGTTGATTACAACTGTCGTTAAGGCAGTGAACGCGATGGTAATCGAGGCCTTTCAAGCTAGAAAGACGCAAATCTGTCGTTGTGTACTGATGATCGAGAGGATAGATAAGAAAGTCTGGCGGGTTATGCATGCTTTCCCACGATGACAGAGCTTTTACCAGACTTCCGGTCTGAGAATGTAGCATTGACGCGGATGGGCACTGGTAATCGCTGACGAGGTGATACATAAGAACCCACCGATATCCTGCCTGAACTAACTGGATCTTTGGACCAGTGAGTATAGTGTTGTCCTAGAGCTGAGAAGATAACTTACTTCATGGGTCACGTCTGTATGCCAAGCAACGTAGTAAGAACTATACGCTGACATCTCAGCAGTGGTGGATAGCTCAAATGAATCTTTCTGATAATGCAGGCGTATCGCATCGGCCTTATGTTTTGAAGGAAGACAAATGACTAGGGTTCCGAACACGCCCGGGCACCTCTCATTACTATTCTAGACTGTTAGCCCTCCCTTATAATGCTTTATGCCAAGACGTAACTTGACTGACTCTTCATGAGGCTTGAATATAGCTCCTGGTTTGTAGAGAAGGTGCTTGTGGAGCTTGGCATAAACCTTGCGCCCTTTAGGAGCAGGTGATACTCCAAGCTCGCGAATAACACGCTGAACAAGCTTGTTGACAAAACCATCCCATTGTGAGTTCTGGAAGCTGATTCTCTCTGCGCTAATCTGTAGCCCACCCCCCTCGTCACTTTTGCTAGCGAGGTCTTGAGCTGCCTCTTCCGACAGCGGTATGGCGATAGGCTCGCCGCCATCCACGCTAATGCCTGGGATCGTTAAAGTTTCAAGAACACTTCCAGTTGCAAATTTTCCTGACACTTGAATCTCGTCGATGCACTCAAGGAGAGTTTTTCGGACGTCTGCTTCTTCTTGGTTTAGTTCCACGTATCCATAGAGCGACTGATCCTCTTCTCTTAGTTCTTCAAACCCATAGAGCGAACTATTCTCTGAATCATTCTCCATTTTGGCACTTGAATCTGAGTGGTAGTAGTGTTTGAGGATGAATAGATGGAAAAGAACTAAGGGCAAAAAAAGAATCTCGTTGCTTAGCTTACGGAGAGGCTTTACAGACTAATTAAGAGAGAACTTCAGAGTATTTATACGCCCCTGCGGGTCTTACTCACCAGTCTCTTCCATCATCTGTTCAAGCTCTTCAAAGCTCTCCGCCATTGCCATTGTGATCGATTGATTCTATCATACCCTTGTCCACTTTGTCTGTACATTGTGCCTTCAGTCGCTTCATGTCCTCCAATACCCACTACCAGGCGCGTTTTACGCTGCGTTAAGCGTTTAAAGAGACAGCCTGATGAATTCTGGAGAAGAAAGCGGTTCCATATAATTTTGGAGAAAAAGCGAGCTATGTACAGTATAAGTAATACGTAATAACTAACACCTAGGCATCCAGGATATGACAACCTCTGCTCATCTGATGTTCAACCAACTCCTTGGCCGATATGTCACCCACTTCACATAATACACCCAAAACCCCCGATTTACCCATTGCATCCAATTCATCCTCATCCATTTCATTATACTCATATGCATCCGATTTATCGCACCTATCATTATCCAACTCCTCGCTAAGATCGTCAAAATATGAAACCGTTATTTCATACACGTAATCTGTCTTCTTACTATCTTCGAGAGTACTATAGCTGCGAAATGTTTAGTATAGCAAATAAGCCGTCTAATAAGTCTGAAAAACAGCCCATAGATTCTATTAGTCCCAGGCCAATGCGTAGCCACCTCTCCATATTTAGAAAACTGTAATGCATAAGCAAACTTGAAAGCTAGTTTTTAATTTAATAGCATACCTGAGCGCGTAGATCCACGATCATTTTATTAGTTATTGTAATATTCATTTTGAGACTGGCGTGAAACAAGGAAACATGTCTGCTGATGTTTGTAAGATGCGTAGAGTAAAGTAATAATTGCTGCTCTTGATTCAAAAGTAGACGATCAAGTAGCGCTTTTGTGATTTGGAAAATTTGAGTAATGTCGTCGTTCGATGCATTCGATTTGAAGATGATGCCAGCGACCGTCTTATCGCTGCTATTAATCGCGGCTTTGAGCTTTTTATGAAGTGCGTGCCATTTTTTTTCATCCATGGCCAGAGCTTTCCCCCAAAAATAATCACATAATCTCCATTGATCTGGATCATGGTATCGGAGTAAATCGTATATTTCCCATTGGAGTTCATCATGTTTTTCGATCTCCACTAGTAACGCATGAATTTGAGCAGCGGTGGTGTCTAGTGTATTGAAATGGGAGTTGCTGATGCTTTCTCCGGCAGACATTTTGATGTGGTAATGAATGGCTGCTGCAGGAGTTGGTATTTCCACAGGAAGACACCAGCCCATTTATAGTCCAGGTTGCCTACTGTCTATTGTACGATCCATTTCGCAAACACAGCTATAATTAATATGTGTCAATTCAATAACCTAATTTTTGCCCTGTTTGGCGTAAGGGCATGATGGAGTACACAACCAAATAAAGGAATTCATCTAAGCCCGCTATTAAATTCCAAGCCCCTGAAGCTATTAGTATTATATTCCATATAACAAGATGGGTAATCTAGTATACCTGGAAAAGGTCTTTGCCTATTTGCAGAAGTAATCCTCCAACTTGCATCTGGGATTGAACAGTTTTCAAAGCATCTAGACATTGATTATGCAAATGCAGATCCAACCTTCCATAAGAAAGAATTGCAAATATGAAGCTTTGAATTGCAATACCCTTTTCCTGTGCGGTTTTATAATCTCCAAGCATGTCGGTAAAATCTTTCTGAAGCTCATATATATGCTGGGTAAGGCTGCTATTATCGAGAATGTAATAATTGCTTTTTTCTAGAAGGTCGTAAACTTTTTTAAAAAAGTCGCAAATTTTCTTCCTTGATGTTTCTTGTGAGTGGCGCGCACTATTCATATAAGCCATTATAATTATATGCGGTAGTTTTCTTTGTATAGAAGCGACTGTTTCCGTAAGATATGTGTTGGAATCCATTTTGATGATGTATACATGTACAGAAGTTGGGATTTTTACAGGGAGATGTCGGGCTATTTATAATTTCAGGACAGCGTGTTAATTAATGGTTTATTTTAGTCTCACGGGAATATTCTGCACCTTTTGGTAATAAACTTCCATTATATGACTGCTTATAGCAACATTCCTATCGTTTGACTGCATATTTGTATAGTTTCTCAGCTAAAGTTTTACACCTTGGTGTACTGAATCTTCTTCTTCTGATACCTGAATATCTGTATCTTCTTCTACAGAGAGCCACTTATCAACTTCCCTTGACTTTTCTTCTTTCATAGTTGGATAGAGTAACAGTTGATCAGTAGTTGAATTAGTCTATAAGTGTAAGCGGAAGTCTGCTAAAAATCGAGTTTTATAAATACCTTATAAGCTGAGATGCTAAGAAAATTGTCTAAAATTTGACGAGCTGTCGTAGCATTATTGAGCCAATCAGTGACATTATCCTTTGTAATAATAGAAGGCGTATTTTGTATCTCGAGAAATTTTGTTTCCATTTCGGATAATATATTCCTAGCAGCTTGAAGTGGCAGGAACATCTCTTTGTCATTTTGTTGAGCTGAGACGTCTGAAAGAAATTCCTCTTTAGTAACTTTTATTTTTTCAGAAATTCTCGAAAAGATAAGTTTAATATTTTCGTCGATAGACTTCCAAGATTGATCCAAGAGGTCTGGGGCATTGGATTCCTGGTCTGCTTCTAGTGATTGTGTTGGTAATTCCGCCATCTGTGAAAGTGAATTGTAGAAAAGATCTTTGTTGGTAAAAGTCTTGGTTACAACATTACGATGTCAGAGCAGAGGCAGGGCGCCTTATATACACAAAGGCATTTGTGGCCTTTAACAAATCTAATACTGGCTTAGTCGGCAAGTAATTAGAGATGAACAGCGAATGGTCCTTGCTCTACTGCGAGAAGCAAGAATAAGCCAGGGCTACAAGGCGTAGTAGTATTGGGTATACAGAGCTATATTTAAAAATAATTTGCAAATAAAACTGTATCAAGTAACTATCAATATAACTAGAAATAAAGCATATCAAGTTTACAAATTAAAGCAAGGACAAAAACTAGAATACAAAATGCAATAACATTTGTAAGATTAGGCCACACATTCAATCCATTTATATCTTTGTATTTAGAGCATTAGTATGTATTTGTATTTTCGGCAATGGAAAGGAAATAACTCTGTGACTTACAGTCAACCTTGCCAATGTGACGAACACCTGCTGTTGTATCAATGGGAAACGTTTGGCTTTCCTTACCGAAGTAAGTAAATAAATCAGCGTTCAGTATATCATATAACACACCTGAACTGCAGTAACTTTGTCTGTAGATTTTTCACGCCATCGGAACATGGTTTCCGTAGATTTATCACGCCATCGGAACGTAGGGTCTTGAGAAACATCAAGCCATCGGATCACAGTTATTTGAGAAGTATCAGACTGGTAATCCTCTTCGTTTAATAAAGGCATCGTTTTTTTCTTCTTCGGAGTCAGGATCAAGGACGGCTATAAGAAATTGTAATTAAAGATGGAAAAAAAGTTTTCTAGTAAAAAGAAGCATGGTCTATATACTAGATTATTATATCATGACTTTCCACCTAGGCAAGAGCGGCAAAGAAAATATTCAACTCCAGGCTAGCGGGAGACTAATAAGCGGCAGACTTCTATATAGAAACAAGTTTGTTCCCAGTGTAACTTAATGAAAGATCAAGAGAAATTCATTTCAAAGACATTATAAAGAAACACGCTAAAAGCTAGGAAGCGAGTCACAGTTACTATCTTATCTAGATGGTAAAGAGACTAATACCCTCATTATATTACCTTACTCTCGGTAAACCAAATAGCCTAACTCACGTTCTTCTTCGCAAATAGTTTTCCACTTTTTCAATGCTAAAGCGCAAAGTAAATTAGGCGGAATGCTTTTCTTATTATACTTCTTTGTCTTTGAAACCATTGATGATAGCTCGTAAGAAGGTAAGTCAGTGATCTTGTGAAATCTATCTGATTTCAATACCAAGAAAGTTTGCAGAATGCAATTGAGGTAATCGCATTCCCTAATAAGTTAGTTTTTCATCTGTATTATTTTCGGAATGCGAATTGTCTTTCTAGCTCACTTTTGGAAACCGCATCTTCGATCAACATCGAAAAGCTCTTGCTTAGACTTTACATATCTAATGCTCTTCTGAATAAAGTCGCGAATTATTCCGAACTGGTAAGATGTCTTATCGGCTTTGTAGTCAAACTCTGCCATCGTTTCGTCATCATGACTCCCTGCTGCCAGGTCGCCTTCAACTAGTCTTATCGTGGTATTGTAAATAGGGCGCCAGAATTTTAGTTCTGCATCCGTTGCTGAGAGCTGATCGATATTATTAAGACACCATGATCCCGGTTCAGGGTATTCCGGATAGTCGTAGCCGTGTAACCATTTATCCATTTCATAGTCTAATTCATCCAGACTAAGATTGCCTGTCTCAACTCGGTTGACGTGCTCTTGGAATACCAGTTTACCTTGAGCCACAGCGGAAATCCAGATAGAACGCCGAATATGGTAACGGTCACGTCGGGATATATTCGGTGTATATAACCATGCAGTGTTGCCTGGATGGGAAAGGAATGGTACATAGTACGAAGTGGCTAAGGCCTTTGAAGGTTCTACTTCATATTCGCTATATACATAGTTAATAATGTATATGATGTAAAAACGACTAATCATAATGACTTACAAGCAGACGCGGAGAATACCAAAGTATACCACAATAAATCCGGTATTGCAATACCAATTTTTCCTGTTTGAGATTCTTTCAGCGGCTTCCTTTAGATGACGCATGGCGTCGGCAGTGGAGCCGGTTTGAAGGAGATAAACGGCAACGAAAGTATGTAAATGGGCGCTTGAAAGTATTGAGTGTTGATTGATCGATCTGGATTCCAATTCTGCCACTATATTTATGAGAGTGCGCTTATGAGCTTTGTTATGCTTCCGGTGTGAACGTGAGGTAAAGAGTTCATTGAGCAGCGTGGCCAGAGAATAAAAGCAATGGTCGTTCACTATAAGTTGCCTTGCTTCGTCTCGATACATAACAGTAAATCTGGGAAGAACAAAGTCCAGAAACTTTGCAGTAACTGTCTCGTAATCCTCAATGGTGTCGTCGGTATTAGCGCGTTCATGAGACATTGTGAAGAAGATGAATTGTGTTTTAAAATTTGATGCGAGATGATAATAATTCGTGATATATCATTGCCCAGAGAGAATGGGTACTCTTTATAATCCTTTGTCACGATTGATAAATGTGTTCTTGTTTCTATTCTAGCTTGTATAAGGAGTTTGGCATTGTCAATGTTCCATAGCGATGTTGCCCTTTTCGGAATTTAGTACAGTAAGTTAAAGTGTACACCAATGCTGAGTAGTATTTCTGATTCATTTCAGCTTCTCCCGTGTCGATTTGTGTCTGATGTATCTGCATTCATCACCGCTATGACTATTGTTACCGATTCTCCCGCCACCGGCGCCGGCGTTGCGCAATGGTCCACATCGATAGCCGCTTGATGAGCATCGTCTGGAACAGCGTCGCCTTCAGTATTGGTGCCAGTCTATTCTACAAAGCGCTGGAGCCGCGACCACCAAACAGATGGCGGGAAGTTGCTCCCCCAATCCCCTCTGGCGGCTATCAAAGATGCTAGCTACCCAGAACCACGTGCTGATTGATACAGTTCGATTTATGCTTGGTAGCTTTCCCAGCTGGCAAGCTGGTTACTTTCCCTGCGTGTGATGTGGTCCACTGCGCCATGAAGCTAAGGTTCTGTTCGAATCTAACCTTTCCAGTTTAGGCCACTTTGACGTCACTAAAGGGTACAGTGTACCCTTTAGTGACGTCAAAGTGGCCTAAACTGGAAAGGTTAGATTCGAACAGATGAGTCTAGGCAGCAGCGGGTGACGTGGCAATAGGGGAACCCCCGCACATTTGATGGCAAATACGTGCTTCAGAGGGCATCTCGGCTGTTCACGTAAGACCGAAAAGAGAACGGCCGCTCAACTCAAAGGATCGATTTCGCACGACTGTGGCTATATATACATTCTCTGAGTTTCTGAGTCTAGGCAGCAGCGGGTGACGTGGCAATAGGGGGACCCCCGCACATTTGATGGCAAATACGTGCTTCAGAGGGCATCTCGGCTGTTCACGTAAGACCGAAAAGAGAACGGCCGCTCAACTCAAAGGATCGATTTCGCACGACTGTGGCTATATATACATTCTCTGAGTTTCTTCTCTACTAAAACCACCCCACCAGCCATCCGTCGCCTGTCTTGTTACTCCCATCTACCACAATGGCGTCTCGGACAGCAACTGAGTCGACGACTGTTCAGGACGTAACACAGATCTTTAAAAGATATAACGTATATGAAAGCTTGCATACGGTTTTAGACAACGAAGACTCTTTCAACAGTATCTGCGAAATATTGCGTGCTATATTTCGCTGTGCATCAAGGAAACAGAGAATACTGGAGATTGCTGTCGAAGAGGGTATATTCCCAAAGTCGCTTTCAACTTCAGAACAATCCACCACTTCAGAAGCCTTTCTATTGCTAGGGCAAGCGTCATCCTCAACTCTAGCACATACTACAACTTCGAATACCTCTCCGTCAGAGCAGAATGTAATACGAGAGCGCACTGAAACATCAGAACATGACCAAACTTCAGAAACCTCTCCTTCGGATGAAGCGCAAGCGTCATCATCAACTCCAGAACATACTACAACTTCGAATACCTCTCCATCAGAGCAGAATGTAACACAAGGGTACACCGAAACACCACAGCACGATCAGACGTCTTTGTCGCCAGCTCAGAGTGTAACACAAGAATGCATTCAGACACCACAACACGACCAGACTGGCCAGGCTTCCCAAACGTCTTTGTCGCCAGCTCAGAGTGTAACACAAGAATGCATTCAGACACCACAACCCGACCAGACTTGCCAAGCTTCCCAGACGTCTTTGTCGCCAGCTCAGAGTGTAACACAAGAATGCATTCAGACACCACAACCCGACCAGACTTGCCAAGCTTCCCAGACGTCTTTGTCGCCAGCTCAGAGTGTAACACAAGAGCGCACAGAAACACCAGGATCAACCTCAATTTCAGGCGATGCTCTAAACGCAAAGCAGCTTTCACTCCCAGTAGATGCCTCTACTCCAAAGTCTATACCAAACTCAAGGCTATCAGTTGATATTGACTTGGCTCCGGACAGTGCTATAGAGCTCTCAGATGCACTCCCACCACCATACAGTTCCCTCGCTGAATATTCTCCTACGAGTGAACGATCGGATAGTGGCATAGAGCTTTCAGATCATATATCTGATGAGGACCTTGCGCTACCAAATAGTCCCCGGATTGAAATATCTACCACCACTGAAGAACACGAAGCAATTATCGAAGACCAGACAACAATCCCAGAAATTCCTTTTGCAGATCGGGCAAGTACCAAGGAAATGTCCAGTCTGTTTCGATCATGGATTCAAAACCCACAAGAAAATTTTTGGAAGATAGAAAACTCTCTGGGGCTTAAAGAAAAAGGGGACTTTAGTGCAAGGCTCAAATTCTTTGTTCAGAACGCTATTATTAAAAGGACGGCAGTCAACATTCAGAAACTCCAGTATAGATTTACCTCTATATTGGTGTACCAGAGTTATCGGAAGATTATGGATGCTGTGCGTATTACTCCTGCACTTACTCGACAGTTTCTCGAACGCATCGATATATCACTGGAGTCTGAGAAAGATTGTACGCTGCTCCTTCGAGGTGGGAAAAATCGGATCGAATTCCACTGCGAAATTGCTCCTCATAAAGATGCTATTGACTATGGCCCGCAATGCATCCCTGAACTTAATGACAATCTGTAAGGCTTCAACCCTGAGACGCTATTACCAATTCTAATGCTTGGTCAGATGGGATTACCCTAAAGATGCACATTCACGCGTGCGAGTAAAAGTTCGAAACGCTATTGCCAAACTCCAGTCACAAAATATTACCTTATGGTCGGAGAGATCTAGAGCTCAGTTAGCAGCTAAAAGAATACTTTGCCATGGCCAGAAGTTCTTAGGTCTTATAGATGTCCAAACCAAAGACAACGAAACCAAAAGAACACTCAATATTATAGATCAGACATCATCATCAAACGTATACAAGCGTATACACACAGATCCAACTACTCCTCGGACAGGGTTTCAAGCTCTTTCACCAAATATACATCGCAATGCGGCTAGTTTTCAGCCAGCCATCCAAAACAGCTCCCTGAGTATACGTTCCAATCAAACTTTCTCTTCCCCAGGTTTCCGACATGGATCTGCAAATGTACAAGCAGATACCTCATCTTTTGGAAATTGCGCGCAAAGGCGAGATAGTTTGGAGCAATCTCCATACGAGGCGTCTAATAGCGATGCAACAATTCCAACGGTTAGCAGCGACACGAATAATCCATCTAACACTGGAATTGCGCCTTATCAAGGGTACACTCCAAGAAATGATACATGCGATGCCTCTATTCGTGCTCATGACATTGAAGACTGCACACAAACAGGCGACGATGCGGCCAAAATCACCAATGGCTACAACGACGCCGAACGTTTGGCAAACTTGGAGTTGGTCTCGGCGGTAGATACATTACCAAGCGAGACAGCTTACGACAGCACGTGGTATAATGGGTATGATACGCACTTATTTGATTTTGACTGGTATAGCAAAAGTTTAGATTTAGGCTCTCCCGACAGCTCATTCAATACGCAAGGCTTATTTAGCACGATGAGATAAGTATGTAATATAAATGCAAACTATCTTGAGCTTCTGAAAAGTTTAGTTACGTCTAGTTAGTTACGCATTTACACAAGATTTATTCAATAACAATTAGTAGAACAAAGCTCTAGCCTCAGAAATTACAACTATAAAGTTTTTGGCTGCTGTGGCTTATGTAATGGAATAGTACCCACTTGACGTAAGATAGGTCAGGTGATTTACATCAGGCAACTAGTCGCCTTATCATGAAAGAAATAATAAATACAGCCCACACTGCCCTGCAATAGTCACTTGCTATATCATCTTGAAGTTAGCATACATTATAAAAATGGCTGACACTAAGATCATCGAAATTCGAGAAGAAACAATCAGCTTCTTAGAAGACAAGATTGTGTCTTCTGTATTCCCTTTGCTAACAGCAAAAACCACCGGGGTGTGGCGGTCTGCGGGAAAATCGGACAATATTCAACAGTGTCTGGATAAATCTATATTAAATTTAGTATGGGCGCATTTACGCAAGAAGGTGAATATTGTACTGTTATATTCAACAGCCTGTATACTAATCCATCTTAGTGCTATGATATTAGTGTACTACGAATGCGCCCGTCAACAATGCCGATCCTTCAGTCCGGGATTCTAATGCCGTTGATGGAAAGCGATGGCTGCAGTGTGATTGATAATGATGGGAATACTCTCAGTAAGCTAGAGTTTGGGAAGAAATTATGTCTACCAGTACAAGTTGATCCACACAAACTCAAACTTCATGTTGAAGAAGGCGCCTTTTTATGTTTTCTTTGGATATTTAGAACTCCAGCTGATCGCCAGCAGCAGAGTATCGAGGGTACTGATGAAAAGGAAGTTAATACTATGACTCTATGTAAATAGCCTAATAAAGTAAGTAAGTCAAGGATATATACATAATAGCATTAAGCCATATAGATGTTGTCTGATAATCTAAGCGAATGCTAGAGATGGGAATGAGCTGCAATTTATCTATAAGTACAGCAGCTTTGCCTTTTAGTTTCCAATATAACTTAGCAAGAACTCTATTCAAAATGATTACATCTACTTCCAACCCTTCTAATTTTGGACGTGGTGCCTATGATACCACAGGTCTTCCAAAACCGCCGCCGCCGCAGCCCCAATAGCGTTTGGCTTCAAGTCAAATGGTACGTTACTCTTATATTATTAACTGTTTGCTAATCTAATAAGTACGTTTAGAGTTACAATTAGTTAGTAGAGTGATAAGATAAAGGATATTTTGTGAATGTATATAGGTCTTAATGTGTATAAGGGAGACGAAGCAAATAGTTAGTATTCATGTATCAATTGGAGCTTTTCTTTCTATAAACGGAAATTCCTGTGACAAGGTATATCGCATGTGAGATCAGCGGAAACAATTAGTATATTATATGAAACAAAATCAGCGAAAGCTATATAAACATAGAACTCTGCAACACAACTTCCTAGTCAGAAAATTTTATATGCCTTGTCTATTATTCCAAATACCAATAGCCATGGATCACACTCCAAAGCCGCCAAAGCAGTATGTTGCTGCTTTTATGCACTTGCTTGATACTCTCCCTATCGTTCCTAAGAAACTGGTAGTGCAATTATTTCACAGACAATCCAATGCGCAGTATGCTACGTTTTTCGGATACATCTTGCGTATTGGGGGGATCTTATTACATGACAACAATTTCCCCGATATCGACGTTCAATCCGTTGAACCGCAACTGGGTACGGACGTACCTCTTACTTATGTTTTCTTTAACTTGGTCAAGGCTGTGTACCTCCAATATCAAGGAGCAACTGATCAAGCAAAAGAATGCTGTGAGAAAACGTTCATGGTGATACGCGATAAGTTTGTGGAAGGTGGCATGTGGCATATGGCAATATGGAGCTACTGGCTAGTTCATAGGCAAGGCTCTTATCTCTGTGGATTGGAATTCAGCTGACGGATCATAGAAATCTAGAAAATCCCGATCGTAATTGCGCCGTTGATATAACCGACATTCCAATACCCAAGGGCGCTATATCTTCCCAAGCCGCTGAAATACTTGCAATAGAGCAGGATATTATTGCTAGAAACATTCGGTACAGCATTGATCACGATTACGATATCCTTCCGGCTCTTCGGTCTCAGTTTTTAGTCTTCTCTTCAACTGTCAATGAAGGGGCTAATATTCTGTCCAAAACTGGGGATAAAGTTCAGCATGCAATTGAATATCTTACTGCGGCATCCGACCTCTCTATTATTGACAGATTGCGAACATTTTGGAGGTACGTCTAAATATATCTTATTTGCGTCAATTACTAAGTTTTAGCTAGGGAGGTTACGTATATTCAGGACCTTACACAATGCTTTCTCAACGGTGAAAGCAAGCAATTAATTAGTCGGTCCCAACTTCACAACATTCTATCCAATGCAATCGTGTTTAGCTCAACATACGTTAAAAGTGGCAAATACAGCACAATTATTATAAATTCTATTTCCGCAATAATGGATATATCATTGTAAGTATTAGATAATTTAAACTACCAAGACCCCATGTTCGCTAATATCTGTCTTAGTCAAGTCTTCCCTAATGCTTCAGAGCAAGAAGGAGAAAAGCGCGCCGCCAAAAGACAAAAGATCGCTGAAGAAGAGCATTTGTGTGAATGGTGCGACCGATCTTTTGCAACTGCTCAAAATCTAAAGAACCATCGCTCAAAGCATGCCGAGAAACGTCGCGGCCAAGTTGTGGCTCATATTGCTGCTGCTGTGCATGTTATTGAAGCAGAAAAGCGCGCCGCCGAAAGACATGTTATTGAAGCAGAAAAGCGCGCCGCCGAAAGACAAAAAGAAACGAAAAGGCAGAAGTCGTGTGAATGGTGCGGCCGATCTTTTTCTTCTGGTTATGGGCTAAAGACGCATCGCGAAAAGCATGCCAACGACCGTCCCGACCAAGTTGTGCCTTATATCCCTGCTGCTGTGCCTGTTATTAAAGAAGAAAGGCGCGCCGCCAAAAAACGAAAGATCACCGAAGAAGAAAAGCGCGCCGCCAAAAGACAAAGTACCGTCGAAAAAGGAATGAAAGGGCAATTTAGCCATTTGTGTGAAATATGCGGCTGTCTTTTTTCTTCTGCCGATATGCTACATAACCATTTATGCCCAGGGCGACCCTGGACTATAGGTCTATAAAAATTGCACATTTTCTTCAAATTACAGACATTTTAACTCTTTCACACAATATATCTAATACATCAGTAAACTAATTGTATTACAATATGCCTTAGCTAAGGTTTACACCTATGCACCCATCACTTTATGCTCTAAGTAAGTTAAATCTATCAGCATTATGAACCAAAACTCTAAGCACCGACATATTTACCATTCTTTCCATCATGATAAGTATATGGCTGGTATATAATGTTATAGAAGCACTATTGGTAGTTGTACTACCAAAAGGTAATAATATTGTAATCAACTGGCTTTAGGAAAGGCTTTTGCAATATGATACAGCTTGCTTTATCAAACGATTTCAGAATCACTGTTCAAATAGTTCAATTATGTACATTGTCTAGCTTTGCTTCCGTTTTTTGGCTGGTATACTACCCTTTGGCTCTCGGTCGTCCTCTCGGTGAATAGCTGCGGCTGTCACCCGTGCCTCAGTATTCGGCTCCAGCATCTTATAGACCAGAGTTTGAACCCTGTCTTGAAGATCTAGTAAATTCCTTTGCAATGCAATGTAGTGTAGTCGTTCCGTCACCGTCCGATATGAATTGTCAACCGCATGCAAGATATTAGTATCTATTTTCATTATCTGGAGAATTGTAACACCCAAAGCCCAGACATCTCCCGGAAATCCGCGAGATTTTTCTTCATCAATGGTTTCAGGTGGAAGAAACCCAGCTGTTCCACCAGGTATCCCATATTTGGGCTTTTTTATATAGTCGGCTAGATCGAAATCGAATAGTATAGCGCCTCGTTCACGACAAAAGGCAATATTTGCTGGCTTAACGTCGTAATGGACTATTCCTCGCTTTGATAAGTATGTAAGAGCAGACGCAATATCAAAGAGTATAGTTTTTGCGTCAGCCCAGCTGAGCTCTAATTCGCGATGCTTATTAAGTGAGAGGGGAAGTTCCTCCAAGTATAATGCAAAAACTCGGGGATCAGATTCCTTGAGTGATATGATATTTGGCTGTGTATGTTAGTATAGGATTTGCATATTGGTAGACAAGTTCCTTACATGGCGTATTTGTTTCAAAAATTCCATCTCTCGTTTCATTTGTTCGCGTATACGAAAGACTTTGGCAACCAGCTTGACGCTTGGCAGTTGAGAATGTCGACAATAAAAGACATGTGGCCTTGAACTAGTTTCGTTTTCAATCTTTGACCCTGAATTAGTCATGTTTTCAATTTGTCGTAATTCATATGTCTTTTCATCATCATGCAAATCCTTAATGCGAACCGTCTCTCCATCAGCGAGTTCTAAAAGGCCGGTCCTCGTTTCGCGTAGGCTCGTTGGAGTGTATTGAGGCTTGCCATGGAACACGTCTATACCCCAAGTTGTAGGAACCTTGTTGTCATTGTCGGCTAAGATGCTAAATTGTTTGTCCCGAACTAGAATGTCAAATATGGGGTAGAAACAGCTGGTTGTCTGATCTGGTTTTATCGAGATTCTCCATGCGCCAGAAATAGCCATACGCGGTTTACCGGCAATTGTGTACTGCGTTGGTAATTCGTCAGAAGGATTCAAGTATATACTTGGCCCTGAGCGATTATATAGGTAGCAGCCATTACTGGCTGGATCATATACGATGTCGCACCAGAAAACAAATGGCTCCTGATGGATATCAAATCGAAGATCCAATTTAACCGTAAAATCGACGGCATCTTGAATGACACCGAACATATGCTTGAACTGAGGCGCTCGCGAAGGATACCGAATACTTCCAGCCAGAGTTTCGAGATCTTTGTTGCGGATATAGGGAGACTTGATGACCAGTCGAACTTCTGGCATTTTGCATGATGCTTCAGCAAGGCATTCTTTGTCCAACGGTTTGTCCACTTCTGTGACAAGGTAGGCTTTGACATCTTTCCGACCGGAGGAGTTGCTTGTTTTAGGAGCTTTGGATATTTGCTTATTCGACTGTTTAGGGTGCTGGGCCTCTAGATGAAAGTTTAATCCAATCTTTGTTTCAGCAGAAGAAAGAATAGATTGCAATAGAGTAACCAAAGCTGTGTTCCCATTTTCTTTCTGCTCCTGCAGCCATTTTTCAACAGCTGTTTTGTTAGAAGGCGGAATGCTCTGTAACAAGTTGGTGAGAGAAGTAGTTTCCCGCATCCAACTTTGAATCCGGCCTATAATATGCGGCTCAATTATCGTTTCCTGACTAGAGAAATCAGACTGACTTTCCATCATGTTGTTAGGCGATGTATCAGGTTGGATCATGTAGAAGGAAAAGAATTAGGCTGCGATAATGTATCCTGCTGAAGAGAGGGGGGCTGAATATAGGTATACCTAGTATGCACGCATGCACCCCTGCGTTTAACCAAGACTAATTTATTATCTTCACACTGTAATACATCCCTTTATCTACCATGCATATTACGTGATATTATATAAAGGGTTAGCGCGGTTTTTCTTTGTTAGATATCGCACTCGATCCAAACGTACATCGATTGCTATTTGAAAACTGTAGTCACAGGCAATAAATCATTTTATATCTCTTCTTTTGTTGCACAATTGACCAAACCCAGGTCCTGCTCTTGAACTACGCCGCCGCACCCAGCCCTGCCGGGATACCAACCATGCTCTTAAGATACGCCCTCTTATTTTTAAGCAAGCGCCAAAGACTTAAGCCAAGAGTATAACAGCACTTTATTAACCTGTAATCCATTCGTAGATATCATCATCCCCCGTTCAAGGACAGCCCACTATAATAGAGAGAGATCTATAATAGAAGGGGCCCAGGATTCGTGGGATTCTATCTCCGTTGGAGGACGACCCTCATATAGAGAGGGTGGCCAATCATAAACATGCTCCCTTGGGAATATCCAATAAGTTCCAATGTTGCATCCTGGTCTTCCTTCTTCAGACTACGTCACTGCACCCAGCCCTGCCAGGATAACGACCATGCTCTGAAAAAGCGCTCAGCACTAAAACCCAGGTCTTCTGCTCTTGAACTGCGCCGCTGCACCCAGCCCTGCCGGGATAACGACCATGCTCTTAAGGCGGGCTAATGGAGGAAGAGAGTTAAACCTCTACTGGTTCCCCATCACGGTCCAACTGCCACAAAGCAGTCCCCCTATTACTCCGTGAAGTTCTGGTATTTGGGGAATCTGTAGTACGACTCTGTGACACTCGGCGTCTCAATCTCTTGGCTGCCCCCCGAGCGCTCCTAGTAGGAGGTGGGACAGCAGATGGCGAAGAATCTGCAGTGGCAGGCTCTCGCTTTTGGCGCCTCAGTCTCTTGGTTGCCCCCCGAGCGCTCCTATTAGGAGATGGGATAGGATATAACGAAGAACCTGCAGTGGCAAATTCTCGTCCTTGGCGCTCAAGTCTCCCAGCTAAAATTTCCTCTTCAACGCGTTCAGTACGAGAAGATGAAGCATGAGGCAATAAAGAACCTGCATTATCATTCTCTGGCATTTCGCGTTTGATCCTCTTGGCTGGCCTTTCCTCTTCGACACGTTCGGTGTGGGAAGACGAAGCATGAGGTAATGAAGATCCTGCGGTATCATTCTCTGGCATTTGGCGTCTAACCCTCTTAGCTGGCCTTTCTTCAGTGTTCTCAGAAGAAAAAAAAGCGGTGAGAGAAGATGGAGAGTCTGAAGTAGGAACCTCCTGCCCCTGGCGCTTGGATCTCTTAGCTGGCCTTTCTTCTTTGATGGGTTGAGTAAAGGAAGACGAAGCATGAGATAATGGAGGATCTGTGGTATGACTCTCTGACATCTGATTATCAGACGTCCCAGCTGCCGTTTCTCCTTGAACGTGTTCAGATGAAGAGGAATCTGCGGTAGAACGCTCAAGCTTCTGACGTTTGGATCTCTGTTTGTTATCGTCATCGGGAATACCATCGAAGCCAACCTTCTTCTCCCTATTAATTCTTAGTACTAGCCATATAACAGATTGGGTAAGTATATACCGTTTGCTTTGAGATCGTTCCCCTAGTTGTGTGGGTTCCCCGTCTGAGTGTGTATCAAAGTCAAGCTCGACGGAGTGGTATTTGTTGTATGTGCTCCCATCAGGCAACATGTAGAAGCCGTGGCCATTGTAGTCGTGTCTAACCCTCTTCCTATTGATTCTTAGTACTGGCTATTTAATAAATTAAGTAGCATATACCGTTTTCTTTGGTATCGTTCCCCTATTAGCATGGCTACCCCGGGTGGGGGCATATCACAGCCATAATCATGTCCATTATAACCATTGTATAAATCGTTCTTGTATGGACCACAGCTGTAAAGCTTTTGCTTGACTGGATTGTATGGGTGGTACTCGTCTATACTATAGCTGTGAAGGTTTTGCGCGAGTGAATAGTAAGGCTGTTGATTTAATGTATTAGAGCCCTCGCTTTGAAATGTTGAATCCGATCGCCAGCCAACCGTGACGCCTCTTAAAAGCTGCAAGAAGTTCCAATAAGAACGATCGTCACAAACGTTATGAACCGATTTCCATGCCTCTTGAGGAGGCACATAACGGGTTTCCAGGTCACGGTAAAAAATTTGGCGACCCAGACAAGTTAAAATTGTCTCAAATGAGTCTTCCCACCGATCCTGGTCCCGCTCGACGAGTTCTTTGAAGCGCCGCATAAATTCTTCACTGTTTGTAACATCTTCATCTTTAGCAATTTTTAAGGCTTTATCAAAAAAGAGTTCAGCTGAATAGAGAGGGATTTTGATGGTGTTCAGCTGCTCCCAACAAACTTTCCAAAGAAACGCTGGATGTTGTGGAGGATAACCGTCCGAAGGCGTGCTTTGGTCGGTCCAATCTTTAATAGCTTCATTCCATTCTCTAACCTGGGTATTTGTAGTCCTTGGAGGCTTATCCATTGTAACTGTGTGAGCCCCGGTTGCGGTAGGCCAGTGAAGTTGGAAAGATAATTGTTGTGAAGTTAGAGAAGAGGCGTGATTTGGCGGCGCGTATGGCGGGGATCTATAAGGCGCCGCCGTATCACCTGATTGTCTGAGTAAGCCGGCTGCAGGTAAAGCTGGTGGGGTGGGGCTAGCAGGGGAGAATGAGACAGAGGACAGAGAGCAAGACGGGAGAGAGAAAGAAGGAAGAGAGAAAGAAGGAAGAGAGAAAGAGAGAAGAACGAAGACAAACGGAGAAAAATAATGCGGCATTGTAACACAAAAAAGTACTTTAATAGACTCATATGATGGCAAGATTATTGGCATTGACCTGAGCTGGCTGATGAACAATAAGCCTAGATATCAGATGGATTATATACCTAGCAGATATATACAATCTGTGCCTAATTTGCAACCTAAAAGAGGGGTAGCTTTGCCTTGCAGTATATGTTTTTTGGAGAGATTAACCTATAGACGAATGATGATTTGCATTGAAGAGAGTTACGGTGGATCAGTGTATTGTTTATAAGGCGTGTCAGAATAGATAGTGATGATAATTGATCTAAAATAGAACTAGACTGCTTGAAAAGTAGAAAATTCCCCATCTTACATACGATGTGCTTTTATCTCCCGCTTTAAATCCACTTCTACTGTTGCCCCCCTATTTCTCAGCTTCATTTTAAAACTCTCAACATCGGCAACACGCTTCCTCCTCTTGGACTCAATCCAGGGATGACCCATCTCTTCACGTATAGCATTGAACATTTTATCCGCGTCTCTGCCGAATATTTTTTTGAATTCGGAGCGCGACCAGACTCCTGGCTCTTTATCATCTGGTAATTTCCCAACAATCATACAAACATTACCATTGAATGCAATTGACCAGAAATTAAACTCCTGCATTATTGAGCATTGTTTAAGTGCTTTTTCTGCGCGCCTGGCCAATTGATGGCCATTCGAAGTCGTATAACGATCCATCAGGCCCAAGTGGTCCTTCCACGGAATTAGATATGAATCTCGCAGCTGCGGCAGTTCGACAAAAATTGGAGTCATTGGATCGGTTACGACAAACCAACTCCTATAGATACCTTCAATACACATTTCATAGTTTATTCGTGGCGATTTGGTTCCGCTCAATTCATCTGCAGGATGAATATCAACTGTGACAGTCCAAGGCCCACCAGCGACATTATCATACCAAGCTTTCCGTGCTGGGTCTTTTTCAAAGGCATTCCTTTCAGGATCATCCTCCTCGTCCTCTTCCTCGTCCTCGTCCTCGTCCTCGTCCTCCTCATCTTCGTTGTCGTCCTCGTCCTCCTCATCTTCGTTGTCGTCCTCGTCCTCCTCTTCCGCTTTTATTTCCTTGCCTTTACTTTTGCTATTGTCTTTGCCGGAAGAGCCTTTGTCACTTGAAGAACCTCCTTTGTTGGAGGAGCCTCCTTTGCCGGAGGAGCCTTCTTTGTTGGAGGAGCCTCCTTTGTTGGAGGAGCCTTCTTTGTTGGAGGAGCCTCCTTTGTTGGAGGAGCCTTCTTTGTTGGAGGAGCCTCCTTTGTTGGAGGAGCCTCCTTTGTTGGAGGAGCCTCCTTTGTTGGAGGAGCCTCCTTTGTTGGAGGAGCCTCCTTTGTTGGAGGAGCCTCCTTTGCCGGAAGAATCTCCTTTGTCATTTGAAGAGTCTCCTTTGCCAGAAGAACCTCTTTTGCCGGGAGAATCTCCTTCGCTGGAGGAATCTTCACCACCAGAAGAGTCATGTTCATCCATATCGGTATCCTCATCCAAATCCTCTGGGACGGAATGATTTGTCTTCCCGACAAAGTGTAGTTCGGGGTCTGGTTCCACCCACTGCTTCTCATCCATTATTTCTGCAGCCCAAATTGGTGATAAAATAACAGCTTTCTTAGCTCTAGCTTCAGTCAAATATGTAACTGAAGTATCTATCCCTGCTACTAAGATATCAAAGTGGTGTTCTTTAATATCCTTGATATCACGTGGTATAGAGACTTTAACTGTTTTACCGAGAATTTTTTTGATGGATCTTTTGACCTTGGGAAGAGACTTGCTTATTTGTGTGCCGGCTATGACAATGGAGTGGTCATCGGGTGAGGCAAGATTGGTTGACATTTTGGATAAACGGTGTAAGTTGCTATTGCTATGTTGTGTTTACTTGTTTATCTGTAATATACTATTAAAATTTATTATTTTTGTCGGATAGTTCGCAGTTTATATATGTGGGCTTGAGCTTATATTAGCACGAATGGTCACGACTTAATATTAAACACCATGTTAGATTAAGTCCCCAAAGCTAAAAATAAGTTCGGCAGTCTTAATCCATTTGAATAAAGCTATTGCCAGCTTGGATACACTAATAAAGAGATTGATTCTCGTATTATTGCCGTGTTATTATGAAGTGCCACTGGATGGATAATGAAGCAGACTACTATTGATCACTTGCTAAGATTGCGTTACTAGGCATGCTGTTACGACCTGGTCCATTGTAAGCAATTAATTCTTTTATAAGTATCGGGTTCCATTATAGTCACTGCTATAATAACGGATCATTACAGATGCGGATATTTCAAAATTAAATTTATACTCTTTTTACTAAATAACTCAAAAGTACTAACTATGGCCAACTTATATGAAACTACACTTCAATAGAGTACAAGCTTGATTCAGATATTGTAGAGTATAAGCTTCCCTTTGACTCCCGAGAAGCTTTCTTCTCTTCCTTCTTTACTGTCGATTCCGCCTTAGTAACCGGTCTAGAAGAGGCTGTGATGGCTTGAGTTTGCCCGGTTCCACGAGGCTGGAACTCTGTTTCCATCAAATCAATACTCTTATCGTCAATACCCTCAACAATTCCTGCCCTAATGATAGCTCTAAACTCATCATCTCCAGAAGCTATGACAGCCAGGTTGCCAGATAAACGATTTCGTTCTGCTTTTATTTTATTCACGATAACATTATCAAAGGACCGGTTGGGATTAGGATTCAGGCATCTCCAGAAATCTGACTCTTTGAAAGGTACAAATCCAGCCTGGCGGCGTGCAAGACCACACCATACGACAAGTAACTCCTGTGATGCATATTAGAAAGCTATATGTACGGAAGGTGGCTCAACGTACATTTCGAGGATCAAGAGCCTGCAACGCTATAAGCTGCTGTTGCACTAAGGAAAGCTGTTCGTTGCTCTCAAGTGACCAAAACAGAACGATTTTCTTGATTGAGTCTCTGTGAAGTTTTTTACTAGAAAACTCTCGCCGTTCTTTCGACAAATCCATTTTAGTTTGCTCTATGGTTTTGAGATCATTTTCAGTCGTCGCAGCTGATTGCAGCTTTGTAATTGCTTTTCCTTTACTTGCAAGCTCCTGTAGTTTATCTCGCACGCGCTCATCGTGATGTTGTCTTGCTGCCAAACTCAAGGCCAGTGGAAGGGTAGCCGCGATACCCATACCTTTCACTGCAAGAATGACTGTCTCGTATTTCTGTAAGCCATAATCCATTCCGTAAGGGCCGTCAAGAAGAATAGTCTGCTCCTCTCTAAGTCGAGAGATGGCGTTTCCGTGATTTCCACGGCGGGATACCAAGAATGTAATTTCTGTAACTGCTCCACAAGCATCTTCAGGTGGGCACCAGAAAGCCACCGCGGTATAGCTTTGGAAAATATCGTACTTGAACCAAAATGCTGGGAGAAACAGGTAGAAATAACAGCCAGGCTGCAGTTTAATGGGATGCGCAAGCCGAATTGTGACCTGAAGTGCGTCTGCATCGCCGTATAGTTGCAGTATTATACCGGAACGACTGTAATAGAGCACTTTAAAGATCCGGAACAATGTTGTAAACAACCAGAATCCACAAGACGCTCCAACAAGTATTCGAGCAATAGTTGAAGACACTTGTAGTACATGCCAGAAGAGTACCCCGACTGCACCCATGGCAATAACTCGGTGATTCCAAAGAAACCATCTCCCAAGTATTCTCTTGATGATTGGAATAGGCATACAAGAGGCTCCTAATATAAGGCCAAATGACTGATCCAAATTAGCACACGCATATACTAGTGCGACTAAGCAACTTACGATCCATCCTGAAGTTAACAAGGTATGCTGATCAGAGCCTTGCTTATAGATTAAAGAGATGACTGAGTGCATGACTGCTTCTATAGCGGCAATGACTCCAATCGATGCGTGAGCGAAATAATATGATTGTCGCGATATGTTCAGAGCATCAATTATTGGAGCCCGCCCACCCATACATAGAGGAGCAAGATTTACGATGCTTGCTAGAGCCACTCGCTTCTGTATTAGGCTCCATTCTGGGAGAGGATATATGGGAACTAGAATAAGCAAGACGTTGCATGTTAAAAAGCATAAGAGGATTAGTGCTTGCGATGTTGTTATTCCATGTCCTGGGCGAAAAAGCCAAGGAAGGAACCGAGGGTATACAATGTGTTTTAAAAAAAAGTTTTTGGGGCTCGGAATAAAATTCTTGACTACCCAAACAACAAGAGAAGCGGCAATGAATCCAAAAAATGCAATAAAGTACCAAATATTCTGGTCAAGTTCCATTGTTGCGTATAACACAGGCACTGTGAATAATGTTTTGGGGGGATGGGGGATGAAAGGGACATTTGGTGGCTTTAAATTCTTGTCAACAGCGCCTACTGCTGGAAATGTTTGTTCAGCGGCTAAGCTAAGTACCCAACGTTTATATTTAGTATGGTGCCTTATTTACAGCAAAGCTCTAAGGTTTACATGCTAACGGTACTTAAAATAAGTACAGCGCTTAATCTTGAGCATCCTTAGGCTTAATAATTTCCATCTCTTTTTGTCCTTGCCGGCGACTAACTTGCCTGATGCTACGCAACGGCGATACAGTCCGGGCATGTGGGGTTTGACGGCGGCTACAGCCTTCGGAAGTGTGGAAACTAGGACCGGAGTGCGCTGTAGTTGGCTATGCCATCCAAGAGTGGTCCACTGTGCAAGAGGCAGCGCCTATTCGCCTTCAGAAATAATTCATGAAGAGAACGTCTCATAGATAAAAGCAAGAATGCTCGTCTTCAATCTCAAGGTCTTCAACCCCAATACTCAATTCTCTAACAGCTCAGAGCTTTTATATCAACGCCTTCAAAGACCTAAATCTATCACCATTTCAATACTTCAAGATGGCCCGTTGCCGTTCCCGTATCAACAAGGACCCTGTCCGGGGCCTAAGGAACCGGCAATACGGCCTCTCTAGGAAGGCACATTCGTTTCATAAAGACTACAACGCGGATATTTTAATCGTTATTCAACGCCCAGACGGAAAATATGCCGGGTATCAATCCAAGCCTGGTTTACTGCGACAGTTTCGATCTATTTCAGATGATAGTCTGTTAAGCCCATCAAAATTTACCCAGACTCACGGGTCGGATAGTGATGGCATCTCACCAGCTTCTTCAATACGGTCTTCCTCTATTGAGTCGCATATCAGCTCTAGCACGTCTAAAACACCAAGCTTGAGTAGTGAGCTTAGCTCTAGCTCAATCAAGACACCAAGTTTGAGCAGTGAGCTCAGCTCATTGCCGTCAACACCTGCATCACCGGCTTCAATGAATATCCTTCCTCCAGCACCAACGCCCCCCCCGATCGAATATAGCGAGACATGGACACCTTCTAATATCATGTCTTCAATCGACCCAGCAACATTTCTATCTTTTGCCCCGCATGACGTTGATGCATCTCTTAGCGACAATGAGATTGCGGAGCTCCTTTGGCCGGATGCTAGTGGTGGTCCCTCTAGCTCTGCAGACTTGGCTATTGAATGGTCTCATCTAACTCAGCCAAGCCCGGTGTCTCTGCCTCGGCGGGAGGCTATTCTATCATTGCTGGACCGATATTTCAACGACGACGATGCGGACAATGTTGAAAGGGAACGATACTAGAATTTATAGTTAGAAATTTAATATAATAAATAAAACCCTTTTTAGAAATTACAGATGAAAATCTCAGAGGCTTAGTAAATACTTGTAAATAAGAGGGCTTTAGGAACTGCAGCTGTCGCTGCATGTATATAACTATGCTACACTGTTTAACGATTTAATTAAAGCATGTATTTCCAAATCTACTTGCTTCCGCTCCCCTTTAGCTGGCATATCGTGGGAAAATAGCGAATTATGCTGCCTGCTCCCAAATGGAGTTTCTAGTCCCTGATCAAAAACTAATTTTTTCAGTGGATAAGGGCAATTGCTAATGTAATGTTTGTTTCCATCTATACCATCCATTCGAATTGAGATAGCATCGTTCAAAGACAATGTAGCCGGTTTGAGCTGGCGACAAAAAGGCCGATAGTTCCGGCAGTTTTCCAGAACCGACTGGGTACAAATAAGAGCCTTTCTTTCCTCTCCTTCACTGCTTTTATAATAAAAACAAGCATTAATTTGCTGTAGCCTCGAAAGAAGATCCAGCAGTCCATGGCCCGGCGAGATGCGGCAACGTACTACAATGGCGCATATTTCGGGCGATGTGTAAAATCGGGGCACTGTTTCAAGCTCGATAAAAAACAGACAGCTGAGCAGCTTACTGGATATAGACTCAATATATGATCTAGTGTAGCCTCCCTCGCCGCATTGTATAATAACGTCTGGATTGGTAAGACAATCCGCGCGTGCGTTGGACAAGGTTAACTGGAAGTTTTTCTTCCCTAAATTGGCAGCGCTTAAAGTAGCGGAGTGGTGTAGCTTTTTTAGATGCCAGGTAAGCTTTCTGCCAAAGGATACTTTGTCTTTCTTCACTTTGAACTTTTTCACGTCTTGAAGTCGGTTTTTGCAGACTGTAAACGTCCATTTCTCAATGAAAAGAGTAATTATAAAATAAATCCCTGTATTTTCTCAATTTTAGTTCATATGCTAAACTGATGTTCATTTCATGGCAAAGTGTACCGATGTCAATCCCGATGGCACTGTCAAAGTGCTCCCAAAAAGGCACTGAATTTAGACTAGTTGAATGCCGCAGGTCTCGCAACAGCTGCCACATTGCTGTAGGGCGAGTACCATCAACTTGAAGAATTCTTAGGCCCGCTGTCGGCGGCTTCATTATGAGAGGACTCTGATTTTGGCTTCGACATAATATACATCTAGATAGCTGAAATCTCCACGGGCCAGATTCCTGTCCTATTTGTGCGATGCATGCGCTGCAAAGTCCATGTCGACAGTCTAGGGTAAAAGTCGAACTTTGAACAAGACAGACAGAGCAAGCATGATGGATGTATATGTTTGAGATACCTGTACAGGATTGGATATTGTTACAATGCTTTTTTACAATATCCTCTCTAGCATCAGCGGCTATTAGCTGAAATTCCCTTCTTATGTCGCGGCTAAGGTTGGGAAACCCTGTCTTGGTTCCGCAGGCTTGCATGGGTTTTGAATAGATTCTGTCATAAACACTTCCAGGGACGAAAGCTTGAAAAGTCATTAGATCGTGTTTTCATTAGTAGAAAAACAACGAATAGAGTATTGAATCGACTAACCCGGCATATTGGAAGGGAATGCATCTAATACAAGAGCAGACGCTATTACCCTAAGGCTATCTATACCTTGACGGCTGCAGGCTTGTACAAAACCTGCAATATGATCAACGAGGTTTTTGGGTAATGGGTATGATATCCTAGTAGCTGCGATTATATTAAAGGGAAAGAAGGGTTGCGCCGCGTACTGCGTGATTGCTGACCGAAATAAAAACTTCCATTGCGTGGCAGAAAATTCTAATCCCAGGTTTTTTCGGTGAGTGGCTGTAGCTGATGCATTAGAGCAAAAGCAGTTGTATAGTTCTTCTTGGCTCACGAAGCTTATTCTGAAACATCGGTGGCTGAACTGTTTGATCTCTGCAAATGTACGAGCGATGAGTGGCTCTGAACTACGAATCTCAGATAGTATACTCGTGGTTAATTCGAACCATAGCGAATCTGCACTATATAATTCTGCCTCATTCAATATCAAGAAGATCTTAGTCTGTATAAGATCTTCCTCAGCCATTGCACTGAGCGCCCAGCGACTAAGAAGATGGACAACCTTATTCATGCTTCCGATATCTGAGACGAACATAAGAGTTATGTCGCAGAGAGATGATGATATAACTTGATAGAGTCCAAGTGAGGCGACTTCAACATTATGCGACACACCCTTCAGTGGATGGTGGATCCACTGGCTGTATTGGCACCCTTCAATTGTTTGGGGAGTCTCTTCTTTTGGCGATAGATGCAGCTCGCAGTCAAGCAGTAACCTGCTACTTTGGCCGGGCCACCGCGACAATGCTAAGCTATTATTTACCATCGAATAGTTCATGAAAAACTTTGAAAGAAAGTGTCTTTTTTCCTTCCCTCCAATCGCCATTACCACTGAAGGCCTTTTCTCGCCCATTTGATCCAGCAGTCTGTACGAAGCTGTATTTTCTAGCAAATAAAGCTTCTGCAATTCAGCTGGAGCTGGAAAAAATTGAAGAAGAGTATTATCAGCAGGCATTGAGATGAATTTGAAAAACGAAAACATCAATTCTTGTTATTGGAGAGTTAGGGCTTCATCCTTTCTCAGCTGGGCTTTATACCTGTATTCAGGGCTTATTATAAGGCGTTAATAAAGGCGAGGTGATTCGATCTGCCGTGCCAAGTGGGCGTCGTGTCGTGCTGTGCCGTGCGGCGCTGTGTTTTCATACCTGCATGTGCCTACTAGAAGCCAGAGGTATTAGGCCTAGATAGAGTCTCGTACGGAAACTAGCCTCAAGCGGGTGCTGATTTTAAGCAACTCTGCAGAGGGGCTTAAAGACGTCCAGGCTTGAACAAGCGCTATACAAATATTAAATATAAATCACTTCTACTGGTAATAGGCAAATTTCTCTCTCTCTCCATAAGCTGCTCAGAAGACAAATCGCGAAAACAATGGCCATGGAAATGCAAGAAAACTATATTGAAGGTGTCATCCGAGTGCCGCTTGCGCAGTTTGTCGCAGAAGAGAGCCGCAACCACCCGCCAAACTGCATTACCGTCTGTGGCTTTGAAGGCGTTCTCCAAAATCCTAGGCATCAGATCACAGGGTACATCAGTTATCAGCTACG